AACGAACAACGAGATTGGCTATCAAAAGCTAAAGTGCAAAGCATGTTCAGGCACGTCATGTCTTGAACCCCAGCCCGACACTCTAACTACTAGGCCACGCTTGGCCCTGCAGAAACAATAGGGAGAGTTCGACTTCTCAGTTCTTTGCCAAACCAAATCCTTGTCAAATAATACCAACATGTCATTTAGTGCACTGTAACCTCAATAATAACATATTTCGTGTCCGTAGTGTTTATGAGCTCATGTTATATTCATTTATACTCATCTTGAAACAGTTGTTAAAGAAAATTAAGTAAGTTTTAAAAAAAGGAGTTTTTAATCCATATGTTAACCTACTAAAACATTTTTCAAAATCCCGGATATATAAACGCTGAAAATATATGAAAATATTTAGCAAAATTTGGTGAAACATGTTAAAGAATGTAACTTACTTTAGTAGTGTCTCTTTTAAGGAAATATACCCGAATAACGTTAATTGTGCCTTTCTAGGATGATGCAATCCAACCATCTCTCCAAAAATTGTTATGCTCAGAAACATAAGTGCTTTTTTTTCTGTGTGAAATAGGATAAACTGTTAACGTAAAGTCTGTTCTAATGCTTAATCACTGCACAGCTTTTAGGAATTAAAGGTCCATGTCTTGGTTGTTTTAAAAGTGACGCTCTGTAGTATTGAGGTTTCTGAACAAAACGTATTAGTGGTGCTTATGGTACTCACCAGCAAGATGGTAGGGTGAGTTATTCCACATGATGAGTTTTATGGCTTTTTAAATTGCCGGTAAAACCCTCCACATCTGCTAAAAAACAAAAATCCCAAGGAACACGAAAACAGTGTTTTATTTCGTAGCTGAGTGCTTTTGAACTACTCAACAAAGCATGAAGCGACTTCCACTAAGTGTTACCAGACATAATTGACTTTGAGGCTATTTAGTTTGTGAACGCTTTTATTTGCCTGGTTATTGTTAACACGAGTTTGATTCCTGGTGAGCATTTTAATGTATATATATATATATATATATTGTGACGAAGTTTGAGCATTGGCCGATAAATGATGAGATATGAATGTTACGACTGTCATAATTGGTAGTATAGTTGTCTGCAGTTGTTAAAGTGTATATTGTCAATTGTTGGCATTTTCTTAATTGATGAAAGTGATTGGTAGGTAAATTTCAAAAAATTGTTGTCACTGGTATGTTTTCCTAATTGTATTGTAATTGCTCACATGTTTATATTCTTTCTACATGATCAGATATTATTGATTTATATATTTGAGTAGATACAAAAACTCTATAAAATATGTTTTCCCATATTAATTACGAACAATCATAAACACCGTAATGTATAGAAATATTAATTATTTACCAACAATTAACTTTTTTTTCAATCAAATAATTTTTGCCTTCAAGAAGTTGACAATAAACATGCCTTCGGGATTTTCACTCCACAGAAGTGATATTATACTGCAAAAAATTTAAGCTCTTCCACTTCTTTGGTATATCTACAAAAGTTTACAAAAACTCTATCCTTATTGAGGGTTAATCGTATTTCACTTGGACGAATCGTACAAAGTAATACAGTAACGCAAAGGATAATACGTTTAGCATCTGGGTATTTGGTTCACGGAGAGTTTCTGACTATTCAACAGTAAGATGATGCCAATGGTAGATTTATGGCTGGAGAAATATAAAGTTTTTGGAAGAGTAATCTTTATACAGTGAGACTGTTAAACGATTTAAAGCCAAAGAACAAACATTTTGAAGACTGAAGCATCTTAATATTATCCATGGAAAAAAGAAATTTGCACAACAGAGCGTTTAGGGGATTAACAGGCTCCGAAATAACATATCAGCACCAATCCGGAGCAACGCCATTATCCACAAAGTAAGGCTACAGCCCTACAAGAAAACTTTCACAGACGATGAGGATCAATATGTGAATACATTTGGTACCATTAAGACAATAATGAAAAAATAAATTGAAGTTGACGAAGATTGTCAAGCCAAAATTAAACAAAGAACGCCCTTTATTATCCGATTATCGCAAAATCGCGCTCTGCATTTTGCGACAGTGGGAGCACTATAACAGTATGGCAGGTAAATGTCATTATTCCATCAGAGTAACCCAATATTTCGTGGTGGGTGGTATTGACTAGTTGCATTCTCTATAGTCTCTCAGATGAAAAATTGGTTACGACTACCGTAGATACTCTTTTTGTAGTTCTGCGTGAATATCCGAAACAACAGACAAGCAACTGTGAACGTTTACTCGTAATTTCCTAAGGCATATAAATCTATACTGATAATAAGCCAGGTCTCTCTTTTAATGGGAGTCAAAGAAACTAAATATAATATACTAGCTGAAGTACCTGTTCAACACAAGAGGAAGACATAGGGGTCCCCATGGGGTGACATGGAAGGTCATTTCCGAACGGTAACCCCCATATGTCATTCACTGGGGTGCCCTAAGCGTACATGATAACTTTGGTGACACACGGTCTAGCGGTTCGCCAGTTATAAGCAGACACACATATAGACAGACAAAAGTTTTTGTGAAATAATTTAAACCAATATGTTTTCCCGGTGCGTTTAACGGGTGCATCAGCTAGTATCATATATTAATTAAACTACTAATCGATCCCGATAAGTTATAATCTTGAACTTTAGCAGTTAAGTACAGCAACTATAAGAAGTAAACACTTAAAGTTCTTTCTTTTTTGTTCTCTCTAGAATCCAATGTACATGCGAATATGACCCGAGAGATATCACTTGACTATATTAATGACTATTAAATCTTCTAAGTATACACTTCTCTCCTATATTTTCCTAAACACTTGTGGACTAAAGTCTTATCTTTTGAATTACTCTAAGCAAATTCCTTAAGTTAGCAAAACTCTGTGTTTTGAACAGTTTTAACCTAAATTGTCTAAATCAGATACTTTGTTTTAGAAATAACTTTGATACTTAAACACATCTGGAAAACATCATAACATTTCATCTTATTATAGGTATCAACATAATATACTTTTTTTCGGTTACGTTACTGATTTTACTTACTAATAGCCACCCACCCCCCACAGTGGTACGTCTGCGGACTTACAACGCTAGAAACCGGCTTTCGATACCCGTGGTGGGCAGAGCACAGATAGCCCATTGTGTAGCTTTGTGCATAACTACAAACAAAACTTACTAATAATTACTTTTGAAGATCACAGATCAAACCAGAAATAACCCGACAAATCGTACACTGTAGAAACAGCAGACAGTGTTGGCTAAATAATACTATATACATTAAAAAAGTATAATTCTATTAAAATAGCTTCTACTTTTAAATTGAATTTCGTATTCACAATCTGATCGAGTGATTTGTAGTTTTTAGGTTTTCAGGTCGCATAATTCTATTTCGTAATCATAATATTTACTTTGCGGATAAAGGTATTGCTGCAGACTGGGTTGTTCACTGTTCTAAACACTGCTGTGTTAGTTCTTTCGCTTACACTGATAACACTTAAGGTTCTCTCTTACACGCTGCATACATGTGATTCGCACTTTATGGCCCTCTGTATATTATAATATTGATGGTCAAATCCTGCTACCTGGCCAGACAAAAATAGCCCAATAGTTGGCGGTGATTCTGTTGACTAGCTTCTTTCCACCTACTCTATTAGTTCAAAATTAAGAGGAGTTATGTAAGGTAGCTCTTGTGTAGCTTTGCGCGACAATTCTAGAACAAACAGATCTTTAAAATGTTATTTTTTTTGTATTACATTGTTGATCAATCTCGCTCTACGAGTATTTCTCTTGGGAAAGATTCTATCCAGTCATAATTTTAACCTTGGCAGCATTGCACTGTCAAATTATCAAGAACTGGATGTAAACCAACATATAGGTGTTGTTTGTTTGTTTTGAATTTCGCGCAAAGCTACATGAGGGCTGTCTGCGCTAGCCATTCCTAATTTAGCAATGTAAGACTAGAGGGAAGGCAACTAGTCATCAACACCCACTGCCACTTTTGGACTACTCTTTTACCAACGAATAGTGGGATTGACCGTCACATTATAACGCCCCCACGGCTTAAAGGGCGAGTATGTTTGGTGGGACGGGGATTCGAATCCGCGACCCTCAGATTGTGAGTCGAGCTCCCTAACCACATATAGTTATTAAAAATATGTCACTCGTGGAGTCATAACTCGCATCTGTGACGTCAGCACGTAAATATCGTTCACGTATATTGTTATTGGAGGATCCTGTGTTATTTAGTGAGGCTGTATAATAACAACTGTCTGTATTATTTTTTAGAAACAACCATTTTTTGATTTTTATTACTTTAGTTACATTGGTAAAAACGTGGTTAAGTATACAGAAATGAGATTTTATATTACTTATTGACTGAAAAAATAACAACAACTCTTTAGATTTAGTCCAATGATTAAGCTGGCAATGTTAAGCGTTATAAGGTGTTGGTTACATCCGCAAACATCATTAAAAGCGCAAATATCCACCCGATGAATTAGTGCAATGTGGTCACTGCATCTTCTATCCACTGATTGATTTGTATTATTAATCCAAATATGATCCTCATTTATCAGAATTTCAACTTGACTCACAATATTGTTAAATTTATCCTTAGAATCTAACATTTTCGCTGTTAATGTTAACTAAATTTATATATAATAATAATAATATAGCATTCATGGAAGTCTTACAAATATTTCAAGCAATATGTGTGGATATGATGATGTAGTTGAATTACGCTGTTGAATGTGGTGGTGTTAAGAAGTATATTTCAATTCTACAGTGAATTAGATATACTATTAACTCATTGCTTGTTCTCTGCGAACATCTCCATGATTTGTAGAAAGTTTGAATAATAAAGTGGAGAGTCTATCTGGTGTAATCGGATTTGGTCAATTTACTCACGTGAGCTCGTATGACGTCTACTGCTGGGTACCAGGATGAGATAAGACGAGCTTGCCACGTGCCCTTTGATTTGATGTATTTCTTGCTGAAAATCCAGCTCTTAATCATCTGACCAGAAGGAGCGCTCTACTTCAGCAACTAAACACAGTGTGACACTGGAGATTGATAAGCCGACACACGTGTTGAGTGGTTAAGTTCAGTTAATCCACGCTTCTGGCCAAAGGATGGTCTACTGAACTCGCCAAGGTAGGGAAGTGATCTCGTGACGTACCCTACGCCCTTTCCAGTTCGGGCTCGTGCCACGCTCTATTGCCCTTACCCCTTGTGCGGCCTCTCTTGTGTCGCCTTCCCGCGGAGTCGCGCTGCAGTCGGCTAGAAAATTCTGTAATGCACTACCCGTCCGATGTAGCAGCGGTTCAGGTACTTTCGTGGGGCAGACGCGAGCGGAAGCTGATATTCAATACAGCCGGTAAAATTGAGAATTACAATTTCTGGAGTGCTTCTTCCGTCTCTTAAATTATATTTGTGAAAAAACACGAAAGTTCAATGTGCGTAGTCCAATCAAGGTGCATACAACCCACAGGTGCTTTACTTCAAGCATGACAAAACAAGAATCATTTAAAACATGCTCACGTCAAGGTTATAGTGCTGTTCTCCATGTGCTCTCTTATTTTCTTCCATGTTCGACTCGTTAAAGGCTCCCTTTCACTAACTATGAGAACTGGTTTTGTCAGCTGGCTAATACTGGCCATTCTGTTGTCTTTGTGTTGGGGGGAAGCGGTCAGGACTTGTCTGGATGACCAGTTAGATGTTGCTTCTAAAGCTTATCTCGCTCCCATCGTGTTTCAGGGTGTTTTGTTAAAGGAAAGATATTCTTCAGATAGTAAAGATATACTGTTTCGCATCAAAAGACCATACAAGACTGGTAAAGATACAATGTTTAATAAAAATGATAATGTGGTTCTAACCTTTCCTAATGAATACTCGTGCGACAACACCTTCAGGATAAAAGATCTACAGCGTAAAAGAAAAAAATACATAATTTTTGCAGCACCTCAATCACTAGCAGAGTCCAGAATCTCTGGTCAAAAGAGAATTGTGGCTGTCGCCAGTCCTATAAGGATGAATCGCAAGTCAGGCCGTGCAGTAAGAAAAATTCTGTGCAGAGGATGTGGTAAGTTTCAAATGTTTGTTTGGTCTCTTTATTTTTGTAACAAACAGTCTTAAGTTATTAATTGCATATATATTTCTTTTAAGAAGAGCATGAACTAAGATAGTACTATTCTACGTTTAAATATTTATGTATTAGGCTGCTTATTGTAGCTTATCTTTAAAACCTAACAAGACTTATTTGTCGTGTCAATACCAATATCCCAGATTTCTCCTAGTTTACAGATTCTTAACGCAGAGGTGGTACACATGAGGCAAAATGTGTAGTCAGTTTCACCAGACTTATGACACTTATTCGTTTATCCATTATACACCAAACCTAATATGTGACTTTTATAAAGGTTTTTAGAGTAATTGCGCTCTGACGAAAAATTTAACCACATTTCAAAAACAATTTTCATTTATGTTTCTTCAAATTTCTGAAACGTAGAGAGAAAAGTGAATGTTGTTTATAAGTTTGCATGATTCGAATCTCATTCCAAAGCTGTTATCGGTTTGGTAGGATACTAAATTATTAATACTTCTGTGGAACATCACTTTTGTACAGGCTTAATTATAGAATGTTTATTTCATATTATTACTTTTTAATGTTTGAATGTTGATAGAAAAACGAGTGAAAAATTTTATGTACAAGTTAGTTAATTTTTTTCTTTTCCCTTAGATGTTACATGTGTTGTATTGATTGTATAAATATGTTATACTGAGAAATGAGTTTGTATTTACCCATTTATCTCAGACTATATACCATTACGTTCGTTCGCAAAATTACTCTTTCAACAATAGCATAAAAATAACAAAAATCGAATTATCCACCCCACTCAGGTGTGTAATATTCTTACTGAAAAATAGCTATTTTGGCCCTGTAGTTTCATATTAGTATTTCTTTTGATATGTTTTGATAGGGTGACTTCTTAAACTCTGCATATAATGTGATCATCCACAATTATTGCTTTTGGCATCAACTTAAAAACATAACAGAAGAGACTCAAAGTATGGCTATAATTATGATAAGCTTTCCTTTTCGGCCCGGCATGGCCAGGTGGTTAAGGCGCTCGACTCGCAATCTGAGGGTTGTGGGTTCGAATCCCCGTTCCACCAAATATGTTCGCCCTTTCAGCCTTGGGGGCGTTATAATGTGACGCTCAGTCCCACTATTCATTGGTAAAAGAGTAGCCCAAGCGTTGGCGGTT